ACCCCATTCACAAATTACATATTGTTGGGGCCCACGAGATGCCTAGCATTTCTGTGGCTCCTTTTTTTGGTTTATCATGATTACAAACCTGGCTCCACGGCTAGTAGCTATAACATAACACCTAACTTACCAAGTAGACGTTTTTGTGGTCAGCTGAAAAGAATGTTTTGGTACTTGCTAGGCACCTGGCAAAGTGAAACTGTCACATGCATTTTTGGAATATGGGGACCACTGGCCTCTGCTTGTGTGCAGGGCCTCTGACGGTCGGGCTGTGGAGGTGGATGTGCCCACCCCCGCCAGCCTCTGCGATTCTTTGGAGAGGCTTTATAACCTAGGTAGGAAAGGACAGAGGAAACAGTGCCCCACAAATCATTTTCTATATGACCCTAAGTCAGAATCCATCTCATATTACGTTACTGCTACAATTTGTTGAATGCTCACTGAGTGCCATGGAAAAGTGCCAAGTACTTTGTACGATACAATAGTGCAATGAAGTTATTATGCCCACAGGAAATGACTCAGGGGGGTTAGATATTTTGCCCAAGGTTCAAAGCTACTAAGTGATAGAGTGAGGATTCAAATCCATGTGTGGTTCTTAGACACCATGCTGCGCGCCTCTCTTTTTCGTATAGTTTGAAAGATCTCCCCACTTCCAGTTCCATGCCACTGAGGGGAGACAAGAACACTCCCAGGATGCTTGGTATTTCATTTGCTCATCCGTTGGGCAGTCTGTCTGAGGCAGATGGAAACACACCGACTCACGTCTGTACAGCTCAGCCAAGCGCTTGCTGGACTAGGTCCAGTCTATATGGCATGAAATTTACCCTTTAATTCTTATTTTTCTCAAACGCCAACAGCACAGTATGCTCTGTTACAGGAACTTTATTTATAATGGACTTCCAGCCTTCTAACAATGAACATATGCTACCAATATATCTCGTAACTTAATCCCTATACACTGTGTCTCATAGGCTGTGGGGGCATCCCTATCCGTCACAAAGGTTAACAAATTCTTCATGAATACCATAGGAAAACTTGTTTTAAACCAGTAATTCACAACCCAGAGCTTCTTTTATGAATCTCAGGAATTGCTCTAATGTCCATGGCTAACCAAGAGTAAATATACTTTTTTCTGTTATTGAAGAAGATGAAGGATATTAATCTCTGGGTTTTGAGGTCCCTAAATTGGCTACTGCCGCATACATAGTTTTAGAAGAGTTGTGGTCCTGTGGTTTGATAATTTGTAATTCACTGCACAGACCAGAGCAGCCTGGAAGTCAAACATGCTATTTATAGAATTTCATGGAATATAAAGTCTTCTCATGATTGCTCTCCAAAATGGCACTTCTAAAGAGGAAAAGAAAAAAAGAACAGCTTTTGGTGATTGTCACTCAGAGAGTTTAAGAGTGTATCTGGGTAAGTATCTTAGACATATTAGCCAATATCCAGAAAACTGAGATTATCCCTTGTGGGAGAGAGGCCCACAGGTTATGAAATAGTGGATGTGTTTAGAATAAATGTACGAAACAATAATGTTAATCTACTTAAGAGAGACTGTCAAGTTATTCTGATTTAAGGGCACTTTGCACAATTAAAAAAAAATGACAATGTCACCGTTTAGTGAGCCGGGCATGCTTCCTCAGCGTGGGGCTCATCCGCAACAACTCTGAGGGACACAAGAGGCTGCTTCCTCTCTGTGCCCGGGACAGGAACTGTTTACTTCTCCCTGGGACACTCCTGTTAAGGAAGGAATCGTCTCTCATATGGTCTGGAGAGGTAAGTTGCAATTTCATTTTTTAAGAAACTGTATTAAATAATCTTTACAAAAATGCATGAAGACTAGACCATAATTACAAATAGCCACATGAAGTACAAAATATATTAAGAGGGCTAAACTTCTGAGGACCTTCCGTTTGGTCCCCCAGCCTAGTGTCCTACCCTAGAATAGGGGTGGAAAGGCGCTGACAGGCTGACCCAGAGGCCACCAGAACTGCAGCGCCGTGCGGAAAGCACAGTAAGCGTTATTGTTGAAGGGGAAAGATTCCCTCTCACTTTTACAGACAGAAACAAAGACCGTCAACATTTGCAGCAGAGAGAGCACAGCTAGGTCTTATACCTCAGGATGCTGAAGCAGGAAGTGAAGACGAGACCCAGGAGAAAAAGAACAGACGGACAGGCACTGAGGCAGAGCCATTGACCTCGAGATCTTGACTGGGTCACGGACCGTGGCCAGTCAGAGTCCATTGGCCCATTACCAGCTCTGCTTCCCTTACTGTGAACGACATGCTTTCTCTGACTCTGTTCCATGGCTCCAGCACCTTTTATTCCTAAAGACTGGGTCGGGGCTGTCCCCTTCCCAGATACTCTCACATTGGAAGGCTGATTACATCCTTAATGATCAGGCGGAATAGCTGTTAGACACATGGCACGTCCTTCCCCCAGGATTTACTCCACTGTAACTGTCCAAAGAACTTTTATTTAATTCTGTAGAAGCACTTGCATTTATGCCCCATTAAAGTTCCCTTTTGAAAATTACAAGCTGAAGCCACATCTAACAATCATGACGTCCTTTGGACCCCACACACATCCTAAAGATGGAAAACTCATTTCATGGGCAGAGAACCAATAAAAAAATATGACTTCATTTCAAATGTCTAATTTTTTAAAGTCAATTAAATGATTTCAGGTGTTTGTAAAAATCTTTATGATTATAGCGTTCTATAAACACTGGACATGCTCTGAAAAGATTCTCTTATCATAAGAAATTACCACTTAGACTGGGGCCCAAATCTTTTCTTTTCCTCTAAGATTTGCTTCTAGTTTCAAATAGAATATTTTTCTTTCAGTATCAAGGTCAAGATAGAGCCTCAATATTTATGGTCTTACTCATCTTATGACCCACGGCGGGGGGCGGGGAACTGGTTTCCTACCTTTAGATTTGGTTACATAAATGACTCTGGGTGTGCCCATCATGTGTGAGTCACTCAATCAGGAAACAGACATGAGTCCCAACTGTGTGCCATGTAGGGCCAAAGTTCTACAGGAACAGCTCTGTTGTCAGGGCTCCAAGCTTCAAGCAGCACCCAATATGGAGCTGAGCTGACACATTCCGGAGTACTTGCCAGGAAGAGTGTTTTTTTACTTTTTACCTGTTTCTGGGGGGAACATCCTCTGACATGAATAAAAGGACCGAGAACTCTAACCCCACCAATACTTCACCCCGATATTCTATAACCCCTACTCGGTATAGGGATCTCAGAGCTCGTGCCTTCAGGTCCCTGGGAGATCCTACAGGGAGCAGGAGAAAGTCTAGATCTGCAGTTTCTGGGGAGTTCTTACATCCTGGAACAAACAGCCAGCAGTGGGTCCTCTCCCAGGAAACTCTGCAGCAATGAGGGCGCCGCCTGATGTCCACGCCTGTTCACAGCCTGGCTCTGGCCTTTCAGCCACCGCTGCCCTTCACCCACGCTTTTCAACTCTCCTCCACTGGCCCAAGAACACTTCCTGTTTTTCCTCACCTGTCTCAGCTTCCATACCTTTGCTCATGCTGTTCTGGAATCTACTTCTCTCTCACCTCTCTGCTTTTCCAGTTCATATATATTCTCTCAGCTCATTTAAAAAGTAATAATCTCCATAAAGACTATTTTCATTCATCACCCCGTTAGAAGTTTCTTTCTTCTCTGAATGCCCAAACACATTTTCTACATATAGTTCTCTTCCATTGATTAGTACATTTTAACTTGTATGATGATCATCTCTTTGCATCTGTTACCTTCCCTATAAACTGAAAGGTACTAGAGTTTAGAGTCCAGGTCTTACTGACCATCATATTTCTAGCATCTCACCCACTAAGTAATTCCATCATTTTGAAACTAGTCTCTGCTGAGCCCCAAGGCTCCAGAGAGGTGTCCTGGACCACCTGGTGGGGACAGAGATCACTCGGGGCACATGGAGACCCTCTACTCCCAGTCTGTCCTTGAGTCAGATGGGTTTTCATTTTATCTTCTATTTATTCTGATTAATGTAAGTTTTTTCCTTTAAGGATTCTGCTGAAGATAGGAAAAAGCCCCACTGCAACAGACACTGTCAAATAAATGAAGAGAACTACACCCAACGCCTCTAGTGCTTTCTCCCTTCATATATAATGAAATCCAACAATCGAAAATGAGTAGCAAAGGTTCAGAGTGCCTGCCAATCAAAGATCATGGTCAAAACAGAGGGCCCTTTCTCCTGTCCTATACTGACTTCTTACATTAAAATGTGATAGAAGCCCCCTCAAGCTCTGACTGGGTTATGTTAATAGAATCACCCTGGCACCTAGTTCTGCTCTGGGCTGTGTGTGTGTGTGTATCTCAAATGTAACTTCAGGCATATAGGAAACAGAGACAAATTATGCTGATGTTTCTTGATTCCTCCTCCTCCTCCCCATTAAATCTATTCCTCCTTCAGTCTTCCCCATCACTATAAGTGGTACAAATATTCATTCTGTTGCACAGGCTAAAAATCTAGGAGTTTTTCTTGATTTCAATTTCTCTTTCCTCTCTACTCACTGACAATTTATCAGCGAACGCTGTCGACCTCTAACATGTGTTCTGAAGCCGCTCATGCCTCCCGGCCATTACTGCTGCCGACTGCTGTGATTCAGGGCACCATCGTCTCACGACTCCAGTGCTATCATTGACTCTTTCTAGTTTCCCAGCTTCTGCTCTTTCCTCCCTATTATCTGTTCTCTAGGCAGCAGCAAAGGTCTTATTTAAACGTCTCCTATTAAAAAGTGTCGAAGAGTTTCTCATCAAACGCAGAGTAAAACCCTAACTCCCAATTGTTAAAAACAACCTAGCGAGCTTTTTTATATTTCACTCTGTATTAAGCAAATTTGCTCATTCTGATAATCTTCCACTGGTGAGTTGTCTTTTCATTAGGAAAGAAAATAAATGAGTGGATGACTGAGCAGAGAGATACAGGGGCTGGTATGGCTCTCAAAAATAGAAATGACTTACGGCTTCAGATTTGGGAGGCACTGGAGGTGGAGGTAGGGCAATCTCTGAAGACTTCATTGCTGCTCCCAGGGTCCCAGGGACAGGCAGAGGAGAAGTTGCACATTTGGACCGGACAGAACCTCTAAACTGATCACATCTGCTCTTCTCGCTCAGGGACCGAGTGAGAGGCTGATGGCGGGGATTGCTTTCCTCCAGCCACAGCTCTTCATAAGGAAGTTCTGACTTTCCTGGGATGCCCGTTGAGTCTTCACTAGATTCTGGAAAAAGGTAGTCACTCCCACTGTCACCCGAGTCCTGATAGGGCAGCATGTCATGAGGAAAGGGGGCCCATTCTCCCCCCAGGTTCCTGCAGCCATGGAGGTTCACCTCGCTGTTGCCATGGAGATTGTTGCCGTACACACAGACCGAGAGCCGGTGGAAAGACTGGGTGAGCTCGTCCCGGGCATAGCTAAGGGAATTGGGCACATGGTTGTGGCCAGAGCACCGGCCCTTTTTGGGGCTCTTGCAGTCCTCATTCCAGTCGGTTTTTACGTCACGGACAGCCCGTGAATACTCATCGATGTCGAACTGCTCTTGGCAGATACCCAGCCAGTGATGGACCAGGGTTTCTGGCCATATGTCCCCCTTCACCAGGTGTTCTGGGAGACTAAACTTGGGGACAGTCAAGTGCAAAGGGAAGTGCATGGGAAGGATCTTGTTATTCCGCAGCACACAGCAAACCACCACCGTCTTGGTCTGGATGTTCACAAACTTATAGCGGTGCCCCTCGCGGATGAAGTGGAGGTCGTAGGGATTCCGCGGCGGAGGGCTGGGCACAGTCACATTCACAGGAAGCCTGGTTTTCTCCACGATGTTGCGGATGGTGTGTTCTCCCTCCTGCATCTGAAGTTCCAGGGGACTTCGGGTGCTAAATCTGCCCTTGCACTGGAAGGGAAGGCTAATGCTTTCATTGGTCCGGTGATTCATGCAAATGAGGCATGGCATTTTCCCTTTTCCCAGCTTGCTGATGGAATTGAGCTTCCCAATCTTTTTGAAGATTGTGTTGAGCCTTGACTTTTCCTTAAAAGTCTTTGCATAAAGGATTTCTGCCTGCCCCATGAGAGTGAGTTCATCCCCAGTACACAGGGTGATGTTGTAAACTTCCGTGTCTTCATTGCATTCACCAGAAGCAACCTACAAGAGGATAAATCAAGTTTTAGGTTAGTTTCCTTTAGTTTATTCACACAAAAAAGTAGAGAACTTGCTTCTTAAGACACATGCGCACACACAAAGAGAAATGTGGTTTTGTTTAGTACTAAATTTAGCCACTCCATTTTAAAAATAATATTTATGTGGATAACAATAACAAGATGACATTTGTTTAGACTTTTAAAAATACACTTTGTTCTGAAGAAAAATGAAATCTGTTCATTAGTAAAAATTTGGGAAACACAGAAGAATAAGACAAAAAGAAATTTAACACCATGAGCTTAAGTCACAGATAGCTATAGTTAATGGTTTGATAAATATTCTTCCAGTTTCTTGTCCTATGTGTAGCTTATCATATGGATAATTATTTGGGGACATTAATATCATTTTATCTTTTTCAGTTATAAAATTGCTTTCATAAACACTACTATAGAAAATTTCTTTTTGAAAACCTATTAAAATGTTACTAAATTTTTTTAAACTGGAATTGGGACAGTCAGATGTTCACTGGAAGAAATATTAGAAAATAAAGATATAAAAATGAACAAATTCTATAGAATCTTACCACTAAAGATAATCTATATTAGCAATTTTATGTAAATAGAAAAAGGTGAGATGTATCAATCTACCTCAGAGATATAAATACACACACATAATTTTGTTGCAGAGTTTCTCACTACAATTTACTAATTTTCCCATATATATGTACATACCATCAATTGTAATAGTGATCTAACATATGTCATTATACAGGGTCCAGCACAAATAATGCTCCTTTTTTATTACACAATCTTTATTATAAAATAAGCAGCACAAAATTCTGTTATATAACAATATCACACTCAAGCACACTGTCTGACATTTTAGGTGAAATGTGCAAATTAAAACTATAAATTATTACAACCATATTATTACCCTACCAACCCCACTCAAGCAGGCATTACTTCTGCTGGATGCTGTAGATGGATATGCCTTAATTTATTTGATCAGTTCCTTATTGTTAGACAAATGGGTTTTCCCAGTGTTTTGCAACAAATATTTTTATAGTTCAATTATTTCCTTGGAATAAAGGCCCTGAAGTAGCATTACAAGGACATAGCTATGTATATGTTTGCAAGTTCTAATGGGTGTGGCCCTTTGTGTTCCACCCGTGCTGTCTTCATTTATACTTCTTCCACTTTATGAAATTATCTGTCCCCTATACCCATGTTGAATAAGTTTGATGTTTACTAATATCAAAGGTAAAGAGCATGCATCCTGTACTTTTATTTTGAGTATCTTTCATTATTAGTATGGTGAATATTTTTTGATATTTCTGTATGTGGCTATTTAGACCTATTTCTTTGTGAATTGTCTATTTGTGTCCTTCATTCATTTTTCTGCTGGGATGGTCATATTATTGATTACTTTTTATGCAATGTGAATATCATTTATGCTACTTATTTTTCAATTTGTTGCTTGACTTTCAATTTCATAGCTATAGCTGTTTTTTAATTAAAAATTTTGTTTATTTATTTTTAGAGAGGGAAAGGAAGGAGAAAGAGAGGGAGAGAAACGTCAATGTGCGAGAGAAATATCAATCAGTTGCCTCTTGCACGCCCCCAACTGGGGAGTTGGCCTGCAACCCAGGCATGTGCCCTAACAGGGAATCGAATCAGCAATCTTTTGGTTCTCTGGCTGGCTCTCAATCCACTGAGCCACACCAGCCAGGGAAACTTTCATAGTTATAGATTCTTAAAGTACCAAAGGCTTTTTCTTCTATGTAGCACATATTTTCAAAATTTTCCTTCGTAATTTCATTTTTGGATATTAGGCATCTATTAGTTGAGATGATACATATCAGTGGTTCTGAACTAGGAGTAATTTTACGCCTCTCCCCCCCACCCCGCCACCCCTCAGCCTTCACCCCCGCTATCCCCAAGGGAGCATTCAACAATTGCTGCAGACTTTTCTTGTATGTGTAAAGATTTACTTATTTTTAGAGAGGGGAAGGGAGGGAGAAAGAGAGGGAGAGAAACATCAATGTGTGATTGCATCTCATACCATCCCCAGTAATGGGGACCTGGCTCACACCCCAGGCATGTGTCCTGGCTGGGAATCAAACCAGCAACCCTTTGGTTCCCAGGCCTGCATGCAATCCACTGAGCCACACCAGCCAGGACAGTTTTGTTGGAGATATTTTTGATTGCCATGACTGGGACAGTGCGACATACATTTAGTGGGTAGAGATAAAGGATGTTCTAAGCACTGCTTACTGCTCAGGACACTCCCTACAACAAAAAATTATCCAGTCCAAATTTCAATAATGCTGACGATGAGAAATGCTAATATAATTATGCAATATTTTCTTATTTTGATGGCTTCACTTATTAACCATTTAACTCCTTTAACCACAATTTCTATGGTGGATTATTTAAGGTAGGGATCTAAATTTAGTGTTTTAAACAGTTAACTGAATGTCTAAATAACCATCTCCTTCATCACTGATTGGATGTGCCCCTTTTATCATATACTAAATTTATAAAACACATACACTCAAATGTATACATATATTTGTACTTATTTGGGGCCATTTTATTCTAGTAACTTCTCTATCTATGTTCCCATCAAAACTATACTGTTTTAATATCTATAGCTTTATCTTACATTTTCAGAACTGATAACAAAAGTCCTCACTTGTGGTTATTCTGACACAAAATGTTTTTGCGTGGTAAGAAACAAAAGAAGCAAAGTCAAAATGCAAGTAACAGACTGAGAGAAAATATTTGCTATATATATCACAGGTAAAGAGCAAATATCCCTAATACATAAGCAGCTTTTAAAAAATGATCAAAAATCCTCCAGAAAAACAAGCGAAATTATGAAAAACCAATTCACGACAAAATGCACAATGGACTTCAAATCTATGGAAAGATATTCAACTTTTATAAAAGAGACAGGTAAATTAAAATTACACTGAGATACCATTTCTCAACGGAACACTCATAAACATCCGAAAGCTTGACACTGTACTCGGTTGGTAAGGCTGTGGGAGAGCAGGCACTCTTGTTCCTGGCTGGGGGAAATGCAAAGCGGTGCAGGCCTCGTGGCAGGGAATTTGGCGATATCTGATCAAACTAAGCATGCGTTTATCCCTCCACCCCTATTCCTAGGGATTTACCCTGAAGACACTCCTTTGATAATGTGAAAATACACACAGACAAGGTTATTCATTCACTGTAGCATTGTTTGTATTCGCAATATTGGAACTGATCTACATGTCCAAACATGCAAGGTTGATTGAATAAACACTGGTACACAACTAAAATAGCACTATGCCAAAAAAAAAAGGACAATAATGAGTTCAATAAATCTATATGAAATGACTTCAAAGATATATTGGTAAGTTAAAAAAAAGCAAGTGCATAACAGTTTATACAGCATACTACCTTTTTGTTTAGGAAAGAAGAAAAAATTAGTATATGTATTTCTGTTTATTTTTATTAAAAAAGAAAGATAAGAAAATATTCAAGGAAACAGTGGAGGGGGTTGCTTCTGCGAGGCGGGAGGGAAGGCCTGGTGGAAGGGACATGGGAGGAAGAGCTACCTCTGTGAGTGCGCCCGGCCACAGAGTTCTGACTTTTAGGAAACACGCTGATGTTCTACATATTCAAAAGTAAAATGAAGTCAACAGAACTTTAAAAACCACCTTAGAGCTGAATCCAAGTGCAAACCGCTGAATCCAACCATATTTCAAATGAATAAGCTAACCATGCTGGAGACAGAGAAATAATCCACGTCACTTTGGAACATGGCCTTTGACTATGTGTTACAAGTAGGGGGAAAACAGACCCCGACATATATTGTGTTCCTTTTAGGTCTGCTTTGCACAGGGGTGTGGGTACAGTGATTCTGAAACGACTTTATATGTATTGTAGGATTGAACAAATAAGTAAATGTGTTGATGCTTTGGGAGCCAGAGTTTTCACTGTGCAATGGGAGACAGAAATATGCCAATGGAAAAGGCCAGAAAGGACTCTCCGGGGCTGGATTAGATTTAGTCATGAGCATTAACTCAGGATTTTAAGAAACCACACACAGCGGGCAGCGGGGAGGTAGAAGAGGGTAAAGGGGGGATAAATGGTCATGATGGAGATTTGACGTGGGGTGGTGAACACACAATACAACATACAGATGATGTATTAGAGAAAAGTACAACTGAAACCTGTGTAATTTTATTAACAAATGATACCCCAATAAATTCAATAAAAAAGAAAAAAGGAATTCACACACACACTCACACACACACCCCTTAGCGTTCTTCCTTTCAAGGAACTAGAAGCAAAGACTCTCATTATCATCAAATGTACCTAGTGCCCAAACTGTTCCCCACTACATGGAACCAGGGCTGTTTAGAGAAATGACTGATTCCAGGGCTAGGACAAGAATGGTACAAAACAAGTTTGGAACATTTTGTTGTGCCAGAAAGTAAAGAAGTGCTTGCAAGGTGACGGGAACATACCAAGAGGACAGAGGAGCCACCCTGAATCAGCCCCCACCTGCCAAATCTGGGATAATTTGACCGTTGCAATAAAGACCATAATAAATGATAATCTACTGAATAAATGTCTGAATAGAATGTTTAATTCTATATTATTAACAAAAGGATGAATGAATAAGTTAAAAAATTAATAAAGGAAAAGCGGACAAATGTAGAAAAGTGGTGGGACAGGAAAAAATAATAACTTTGCAACTATTATATACTGGGATCATTAATGAATTTATAGACGTTTGATTAAGGAGTAGGTTATGTTCATGGTTTAAAGCATCTTTTCCCTGAATGCTTATTAATTTCAAGGAGAGTAAAAGTAACTACAGAGTGGAGGAACTGGACAGCAACTTGACCAAGTAAAGACATTTAACATCACCAAAGAGAGGCAGACCTGCATTGTGTGCATCTGGATGTGATCCTCTGAGAAGTTCAGAACCTCACTTCTATAACAGTC